TCAATGGTAGAGAGGGACCACTAGTTTATGTGTATGTGAGCTGTGATTTTGGGGGGTTGCTGCTTTTTGCTTTTTGAAATTGGTTATACCCTTTGAAATTTTAACACAATCAGTTTTGTCATGCACATCTTTTGTATTCAATAATGGTACAATGATCCCAATTGTATACTATAAAGTGTTTATTATCTTATATTTCACCACTGTATTGACAACATGCATGAATGATAGGGCTTTCTAAATGATAAACATTTCATGGTATATAAATGTGTTTCGCATTATGATCTGCTTGTCTTATTTAAACAAGAAAGATAGGATTTGCTTGCCTTATTTAAACAAAGATAGGATTTCGTAGAGCTCTGGAATTTTATTTTCAATGTTTAAGGCTATGTTTGATTGAAAGATTTGGAGAGCAATTTGGACATAAAAATGGAGAAAGACGGTAAAATGTGAATAAAATATGCTTCTATTTTACCTAATTTCACATATATTTTTCCTTTTTCGTTTCAAATCTCTCCCCAAATTCTTAAACCAAACACAACCTAAAAATACCACAACCTGATAGGGGAAACTTTATCAAAGTAGTAAATAAATCTTCCCTTATGCTGAAATTGCAAACGTCATTTTCAAAATAATTTTATATGTATGTATATATATAAATACACATAATTTAATTAATATTATGACATATACACAAAATAATTTAATTGATATTATCACATATATTTATTTAGGGTAAATTACATTAACCTCCCTTAAGGTTTGGAGAAATTACAGTAAGCCCTACAAGTTTAAAATAATTACATTGGGCTACTTTAAGGTTTTAATTCACATAATATTTCGTCTCATTTTCATCAGTAATTCGTTAGTCATATGGATGAAAAAAAATGATAAATGTATAGTTTATCTTGTTTATTAGTGTGTTTTCAAATCAATTGTATTAGTCCTAACTTTATTAAAAGAGAGTTTGGTATAATTATATCAAAATTGCGAGGTTTTCTGTTTTTTTTTTACATCTCTGGAGAGGTCAATGTAATTTACCCATTTATTTAAGGGAGTGTTTGATTTTTTGCCGAATGTTAAGGGGTGTTCATGTATTTTTACTAAATTTTATGGGGTGTTTGTGATAGAGTTGAATATCAAGGGTGTCTGTGTTACAGCTTCCAAATATTAGGGGTGTCCATGATATATTGAAAATGTTAGGGGTGCCCATGCATTTTCATCAAATGTCAAGGAGTACGTGATTTTTACACTAAATTATTTTGTTGCAAGTGTATGAAACTGAGGAATGGACACCTTTTTGTGCTGGAGTAAGAAATGTCGTATCGTATGTTTGTATGTTTGGTTCAGATTTAAGGGAAACTTAAGTAGTTATATTCCTAAATTTGTAAGAGATATTCAAGCTTATAAAAAAAAAAACATTGAATGCTAAGTTATACTAATCTTATTCAGTGATCCACTAACATTTTATAGAGTTTAAATATATATATGCATTTTTTTTTTTTTTGGGACTTTACAATCATAGTCTAGATATGATTATATGACGTTCTGTTGAAGAGAGCTGGCCTGTTGTCCAAACTACCACACATCAATAATTGTATTGGTTTCGATCTCAATTATAGTTTGGTCACTTTTTACCCCATCTTTAGGCATTTCACCCACATTCATTTTTTATTCTAGACAATTTTCTTTCTGGGCCATGCTTCTCTCGCCATGCTTATCTCCCATCTCCAACTGGATGTTGAAGTTGCTCTATGAGACCCACCATAAGTCCCACTTTAATGATTCGGATTGTCATGCTTCTCTCTCCTCTCCAACTGGATTTCTAGTTTGCTCTATGGGGCATATCATGAATTTCACTTCAATGATTAAAACTGTTTATTTTATAATATCTTTCAAGAATATCGACTATGCCAAAAATTAAGTTGATCGGACATCCTACAAGATAAATGATTTGGATTGTCTAAAAGAGCCTAAAGAGGGTTTGCAATGGGCTGGACTGGACCATCTATTCAACTGGAGAGGAACTAGTCTCTTTCTTTCTGATACCGCCTTTTGTTTTTTTGCACAATGGAATATTGAACCAAGACAGCCATTTCCATGGTATAATACCCAAATCCACACTGTGGAACCATTTGCACAAAGTTGATGTTATTTCCTTTGAGATGCTCTCAATTTAATTCTTCAAACTGTTTTGACCCTTCAAACGGAAACAGTTAGCTATTATAATAGTTAGTATCAACCTATTACAGTCATTTTAACAAACTAGCTATTATAATAGTTAGGTGGACAAATTAAGCTGGTAGTCCCTACACTTTAGTTCTCGTGACATTTTAATTTCTATAATTTTAATTGTCTTGATTTTGATCATAAATTTATGATTTTGTCTTAATTTGGTCCAATTAATTATAACTCTTGACATTTTTTTTAATAACAAAAAAAAAAATTTAAGTGCCATGTGTCATATTTTTAAGGGTAAAATTATAAACTTATCCAATTCAGTGAGTTAATCTCAACTAATTTAGTGATAATTTTTCTTAAAAAATACTAACAATATTATCGATTAGACCAAATTGACACAAAATTTAAAGGGCGAATTACACTAATAGTCTCTATAGTTTGGGGTGTGTGTCATTTTGGTCCCCTACTTTTCAATAGTGACACATTTGACTCTGAATTTTGAATCTTATTTCAAATAAGAACAATTAAAGATACTTTTGCTCAATTTCAAGGGCAAAATTGTCAATTTGATAAAATATAAACTAATTTGATAAAAATAAATGTCAATTTTTTTTTTGAATTTTTAAAAATAATTTCTATCAACCAAAGATAAAATTATGTAAAATTGTTTAATCTTCTAGATAATTATTTATTTTACCAAATTAATTTTTATTATGTGTTTGAATGATGATCATGTAATGGATGGTTGTTAAACTTTTAATGTGTTATCGATATATTTAATATATGAAATGTTTTTAATTTTGAAATTTTTTATTTAATAGATTGGTTTAATTATGATATCAAAGTTGTCGTTATATTTGACTTTTGAAAAAAATAGAAACTAATATAATGAAAATAAAAACAACCACTAATTACATGATCATCATCCAAACACATAACAATAATTAATTTTGGTAAAATAAATAAATAATTAAATTTCTAAAGATATATCAATTTTACATAATTTTATTTTTAGTGGATAGAAGTAATTTTTTAAAATTTAAGAATATTTTTTTGACATTTATTTTTATCAAATTAGTTTATATTTTATCAAATTGACGATCTTGCCTTTGAAATTGAGTAATGGTATCTTCAATTATCCTTATTTGAAACAAGATTCAAAAATCAAGATCAAATGTGTCACAATTGAAAAGTCAATAACCAAAGTGACATCATGCCCAAACTATAGGAACCGCTAGTGTAATCCGCCCAAATTTAAAATTAATGGTTAAAATTAAGTCAATTGAAACTGTAAGGACCAAAATAACACGAGAAAATATAAGGATCTTCGGTGTAATTTGCCCTAGTTAGTTTAACAAAATTCTTTAAGGCTAACTACATTTGAAGAGTCTTGAGAAACTCTTTAGACAATTTGTGTGTATAGATAAATAAAATAATGAATAGTGTTGGAATATATAAACAAAAAATGAATTAGGCAAAATAAAAAATATATCTTTTTAATTTTTTATCTAGTGAAAAATAAAGAGTATGGTTGAAATTATTGTAAAACTATCCTATGATACGTATATAATTATAGCTTTAATAATGTTATCTTTTCATATATATGTTTTTTTGATCAGCAAAGAAAAATTTCATTTAACAGCATGAAATTAAAGGTACAGGAAGATGACATGCATCGAGAGAGATTCGAAAAGTATAAAAATACGCTACTACTGCTACTCGCATCCATACAACCAATCCCTTAGCCTCTCGATTTTTAAAACAGAAAAAAGTTAAGAAGGACTTAACTAAAAAAAAAAAAAAAATACAAGAAACCTCACATAATCAACCCACCAAAACACCCAAAACAAACTAAATTAACTAAACCAACACCCAAGAAAAAAAAAAAAGTTATTACGTGAATGGTCAATAAGAAGAATTATTTTCAAATCTCCTATTTTGATGAACAAGTTATAATTGTATAAGAAAATTGCCTCTTCCTACCCATAAAAGAATATTCAAATTCTCACGTCTTGAACAAATGCTGAATGAAACATAGTGAGGATCAGGCGAAAGAAATCTTTTTCCACCAACTTGAACGTTTGGGCTTTGTTGTTTTTTTTTATTTGTTTGCATCTTGTTTGTTGTTATTATGTAATCCACTCTTCTCAACCAAAAAAACATAAATAAATAAAAAAATTAATTAATTAATAATAATAAATAGAAAATTAAAAAAAAAAAAATGAAAATCAATGTCTAGATCTCTAAAGGATTACGCAGAGCAAATTTGGGTACACTATGTATGATTATAAGATTATATATGAAAATTATGATAGTTCTAAACCCTAAATGCTAACAAATCCCCCAAAATATTTTGAATTGGAACAGCACAAACGGTGCAACATGACCACTTGTCCATTGTGTACATAGTTCAGATTTCCAAATGGTCATTTGTTGGAACTTAACTAACTTTAAAAAGATTCCAAATCCAACTTCAAAGAAATTATTTTTTTGAAATTATTTAAAAATGGAAAAGCAAATATCAAACACTCTTATTGGCTAAGTACAATATTTGAAGCAAACATTTTTAAAACTAAAGCCAGATAAATAAATAAATATATAAATAAATAAAGGAAAATGAGTGAGAGCACTAATTAGTGCTATCACTAATAATGTGGCAGTGAGCCCCACCAGGAATGATTTGATGTTTTGGCCTTGGTGTTGTATTTTTTTTCTTTTTTTATTGAGTGCCATGTCATTAGTGGTCTTTTTAGAGCTCCAAAATTAGTGGTCTCTATCATTGTTGATAAATAAAACACTGAAAATAAGTCTAACTAGGGGTATGGAAACTGTAGCCTACATCCCTATTTTTAGTAATTTAGCTTGAAATGTGCTGAATCCAATCTTACAAGCCTGAAACCAAGTGGTTGGTTTGTTTGATGAAACCCTCATTTTGCCAACTTCATGTCCAACTTCGAGTCTCACCATTGCATTACACAACTTTCCCCATCGGCCTTCTCATTTTTTCCTTCATACCCGTTGAAAATATATATATCTATATATATATATATATATTTGCAAGCCAAAAGGAAAGGGGAAAAGAGAAAGCTAAGGAGAGGCACAAATGGACAATCATATACATACATGTATTCTCTATATATTGCTTACAAACATGGACAATTAAAATTCAACCAGTGAAGAAAAGGATAACAAAATTTGGGTCATTTCAGTATTGCTTTCAATCTGACCAAAAATAACCGTTCATGATATAGACAATCCTGGCATCAACATCCTCTTGGAGAGCACCAAAATGCCTGCACAATAGTTGTATATATATAAACATGTCAAAGTTTCAAACCATCCTCAAATTAAACACATGTAAACACTTATCTTTTTGCATCTCTAATGCTAATGTAATGTTTGGTTCACTGAAATGAGATTGAATTCAATCGTCATTCTATATCCATTCTCGTGTTTGGTTGGATGCCAAAGAAAGCAATTTATACTGAAAATGGAATCACCATTCACCAATTCAGGAGAATGGATAGTTTGATTATTATAACGAACCAAACACTATTTAAGAGATTTTCATGAAACAAAAATAAAAGTGTGTAGTTTTTACATACGTCAAAGCAGAGTCTGTATCTTCTTCTCCGGCGATCCTCCAAAGCATTAAGCTTGGCAAGCATTTCTTGTTCAGTGAATATAATATGCCCAGATGGTGAGCTCAAGAACACACTTCTTCTGAGTGGAGGAGACCACAATCTACTCTGTGAATAATCAAAATCAAACTCTGATACATCTGAGAATTTCACAAGAAGTCGGTCCGAGACGGGCTTGGGAACCACTTGGATTCTTAGAGGTGAGGGAGAGGCTTCAGTCTGTGATGGTGAAGAAGATGAGATTTCAGAGATGGACTGCATTTACAACAGAGGAAAAAAGAAAAGTTCAAGAAAACCTCTCAAAAAAAGTGTATAGCAAGACGCTTGGGATTGGTGAGAGTGAGGAGACAGCATTACATTTGAATCTTTCATATATATATATTATTTATAACATTATTAAGTGAAGGTATAAATTGGTTTAGTGAAATTTTTTTCTTCTCATATCACGTGGCAATTTTATATATGCTAAAATAAAAAAATTATTATACACAGCGTAAACAAGTTTTTGAACCTAAAACTTTGAGTTTCATTAAAAGCATACTTAACACTTAAGGATGCTAAATTCTTTATTATTCGTTTTTATTATTAGTTATCTAAATTGTACAAGCAACGCGTGTGCTACCGGCTAGTATGATTATAAAAGGTAAATAATATTACATATTTAGAAAATTTATTTAGAAATCAGAATATATAGTTCAAATTCATTTTACAAATAAATTTTATAATGCACTCATTCAATTTCCACCGGACTATACTTATGGATCCAAATTTTGGATTCCCAAACTTGCTGCATAAAAATATTAGCTGAAATTTTAATTCAATGTAAGTTTTGAAAAATAATTACAAATAAGTGATAAATTTTATAAATTTAATAATTAAAATTATAAATTTTTTCATAAATTTGTAATGAGTTTCTGAAAATACCACTGGATACTGTTTTTCAAAAAATATTAAGAAGAAGGGATGACTTGTCTCCAATTGATCATGTAATTAGGAGGTGTTGTCTTAGCTTGGCGGGCCCACTTCGATAATCTAAATCATTTTTGTTATGGAGCTTGCTTAGTAGATTATTCATGTAAAAATTAAATTGATTGAATATTAATAATAACATAATCGAATTACATTTGTATTATTCAGTCAAAAAAAAAAATTATATTTCTATTACAAAAATAGTCATACCAAGCCAGGAGGACAACACAACTCCAGTTAAATCATCAAAAGAAGTTTATTCTTAAAAAAAAATAATTAAAATTTTAAATGTCTACGTTAAAATCATTTTGGGTACAATTCATATGACACGGAAAACACAATAAATTTAAACTATGAACACCTTTTTAAATAATTTTTTTTTAAATTTTTTATTTGAGTTTTTATTTTTTAATTACAACAATGTTGTGTTAACCTTTAGAAAGTTTTGAGGCATAAAGGAGGAGAAGACAAATGATAAAGACGTGTATGGCTGGCTGTATGCAATCATAGAGTGAACGTGGGTAGAATGATTAGATTTGGAGGGTATCAAATTTTGGTGTTTTTGAATTTCATGGCTTGTAATAACCTCGGTCTATATTCAGCCAAGACCCTTTTTTGAACTTTGGAAATGTAAGTTTTAACCGTGTTGGGACATTTTCTAGGACATGAGGAACATATTCTTCTTTTTATTTTATTTTATTTTTTATTTAGGTTCAGCTTGTCTCATATTTGACATCAAAACTAGATCTTCTAGTCCAGTCTATGAGATTATTTGTGAGTTCTGTTTTGATAATCCAAACAGTTTAATGTGTAGAACTCGTCGTGTACTATATCTTTGTAAAAAATCACGTTCATCGGATATCGATAGTTATTTGATTAGATAAGTTTTTCCTCAACCTTTTATTTTTTCACTGTCTATTTTTTTTATACAAATCTAATCTAATCAAATAGCTATCGATATCCGATTAACGCGATTTTTTATAGAGATATAGTATTTGAAGATTTTTACACATTCAACGGTTCGAATTATCGAAATGAGTCCAAAAAATAGACCCATGAACTGGACTAAACGATCCAATCTTAATCTCAAATATGAGACAGGCTGGACCTTTTTTAATATATTACGAGAGAGTTTCTGTGACCTCTTGTTAAAATATTCAAATTTTGATTGTTTGGATTTACTCTAATGATTTGTGTCATCTTATTTTCATGGTGGGCCGCCATTATTCCGGTTAGTTTCGTTTTTATTTTTTTTAATTTTTTTTTAAAATTAGAACTTAATTTTGTGAAAAAACTGATAATTTTTTTTTTTAATTTTTAAAATGCTCGTCATGATCATTTTTTAATTTTTGAGTAAAAATAATTGATAAAAAAATTGGTAATTGGTTTTACCAAATTAATTTTAAATACTTTTCAAAAAACCAAACTGATTTGAAACGACGTTTGGTGATCCAAATGGCAAAAATCTGGACAGAAATGTGTTGGCTTGTAAGGTTGGTGGGTGCATCCAATTGGTGGAGACAATCTATCGGGAGTTTCAGGCCCCATCAGTGATTGGTGGTTTCCAACAATTAGATCCCTACCTGTCAATGTATATACATGAGTAATTATCCTATGTGTTCTTGGAATTTTACATTCGCGTTGTGTTCAATCAATAGTAAGGAGTTAAATGAATACATGATTGTTGGCACTAAAAATTATTTTCTCTATCAACAAACGTACCAAAGCACAGAGAACTGATCCAGTAGATGGTAGGAGTGACGGCTACAAGTTTTGGTAGTGTGATATGGGTCCTAGAATGCAGAGCAGGTCACAAGGGTAAGGCAGTTAAGGAAACAGAGTTGGTAGAGGCAGTTTCTTCTGTCAATTTATCTAGTAGTACAAAGAAATATGGCCAAACGTGGCCCTGGAGTAGAGTCATGAAGTTAGGAATATGTTGATGTGAGACATGTGGTGTGTTTGTATAGACTGAAGAGAAAGAGGAGGCCACAGCAGATAAGACAGTTACAAGCAATTATGGAGATCATGGGCAGTTATGCAAGAAGTAGAAGTAATCTTCTCCATTGTGGGACACATGTCAGCATATGGGCAGTAGGGCCAGTGGCATAAAGGCTGGAAATTTAAAGAAGTAAAGGACAAAAAAATCAACTCACAACTTGAGAAACTAGGAGCAATCTAATGTATCTAGGAGTATCAGTTCTTGTAATTAGGAGTAGCAGTAACAAGTAGCAGTTAGCATTTGTAGTCTGTGTAAAGTTTTATCGATTGTAGTGTTAAAAGACTTGTAATTTGATCATTGTGGTTAAAAAGACAAGTTTGATTATTATCAGTATATTTCTAGTTGTATTTACTTTGTTTCTTCAAGAAGTAAAACTCTAAAGAAGTCCTTGAACCTGTCAAAGCATTAAGACAGTCAACCACATTGCTTGATCCTGTTGATTGTGAAAATTGGTTTGTTTGTTGTTTGTCGATATTACATCCAATCCAAATTTTTGCTAACATATTTTGGCACGCCTAGTGGGACACTGTGTAATTTGGAGTAATGGTTAAGAAGAAACAAATTGATCAGTCCCCAGGGATGCATGGGGATCCTGAGAAGAGGCCTTTTGGTGACACTGTCTTAGGAGAGGGTTATGATGAAGAAGTCAGAGACAATGTTGATGACAACCATTCAGTGGTTGGTCAGGATGATGGCCAAAGATATGGCCAAAATGTATTCATGGAAAGCCAGACAAGTGGCTCTCCAATAGATGTTAGGAAAGCACCGATTTTGCATGTGAGTAAAGTTCTCGCAAATTTGCCTCCACATGAAAATCAGACTTCAATTGATGAAGTCCTTGTTGAATTTGAGAAGCATAACATTAGGCCAAGTCAGTCAAGGCAACTCAGAGATGAAGCTCAAAAGAATAAGGTAAACCTTGGTCCTTCTTTGACTCCACAAAATTACACATCAAGGTCTACAAAGGCTTTGCCTACAAATGAGCACGTGTCATTTTACAGACCTCCTACACTCCAAGAGGAGTATGAGGAGAGGATTAATTCAAACCTTGTCTTTCAGTTCAATGGGATGAAAGGATGCCCACCAAACTTAGTTTTCGATTTTAATAACAATGACATAGGGCCATAACCTAGACCTGGGGGGCAACAAAGGCCTCTAATGTATGCACAACAGGCATGTGAAGGCCCTAAAAATGGTAACCATAATCCAGTGGACCATAGGGTGAGGCAACTAGAGATGGTGAGACCTCGCCACATACAGGAACCTGTACACCAACAACCTTATCAAGAATTGAGGGGGCTTAGGCCTCCTCTATTTCAACAAGAATTGCGACAGCCACCCTATCAACAACTACCATATCTACCACCACCACTATACGAACCACCATGTTGGGCATATTATCAGGAACTTAATGTTGGTGAACCAAGGCCTAGAAGGCTTGGACCTCCTTCTTTCCAGCAAGACTTTTTTGGATGGAGGGCAACAATAGGTGCAAATGGGTCATGACCCTATGCCAAACGGACAACAGATTATAAACATATACAAGAATTATATGCCCTAGGCCTGAGAAGGCTAGATAGGCCAATGTTTAGGAGTCCTTACCCTCCATGGGTAGAAACAACCCCATTCCATGGCACTATAGGATTCCTAAGTTTACCTTGTTTACAGGGGAAGAGAGGTAATCAGCCATAGAGCATGTAGGCCCGTTCATACTTCAATGTGGTAAACCTGGTTATGATGACAATTTAAAACTGAAACTCTTTCCTCATTCTCTATCTAAAGTGGCATTTACATTGTTTATTAACTTGCTAGAAAATTCTATCCATGCTTGGCGAGAGATGGAGAGTTAGTTTCATGCTCAATTCTTTAGAACTGAGCCTGAGGTGACAATGGTAGTCTTGTCAAAATTTAAACAAAGACAAGGAGAAAGTGCAGAACAGTACATTGACAGGCTTAAGAAAGTAAAAAACAGATGTCATGTGTACATGCCTAAAATAGAAGTCATAAGACTAGTCTAGAATGGTTTAGATTTTGAGCTTAGGAAAAAGTTTGAATGCATGATGTATAGAGACTTGTTTGAGTTGTCCTCAAGGGCAACCAGTTATGAGGCCATTCTCAAAGAAGAGCAACAGAGAAATGTAGCCTCATTAGGGACTTATTACCAAGATGTTGAGTTTCGTGTAGAAGTTGACATAGATGTTGCACAAGTAATAGGGAAAAAACCTATTTTTTGTGAAACATTAAAGAAGGCTGACAAGCCTGTGAGTATACCAACAACACAGCCAGCCAAAAAGAATGTGGTTGTGTCGAACAGACAATATTCTTTTGACTTATCAAAAGCAAATGCATTGTTTGATGAGTTATTAGCAAATA